ACACACACACACGCAGCCTCTCGACATTATGCGTTTTTGCTGGCTGTAGTAGCGCTATAGCGCTGCACAGCAAAAACGCATGAAAGAGAGCATTTACCGAAAAAACGACCGTGCTTCATGCAAAAAACTGATAATAATGTACCTGGAGGTCCATGTGGCCCTATAATGCAACATCGCCATCTCAACCGACACCCTTTCTCCTGCATGCCGGAAGAGGACAAAGCACGGCCAATATGAATCAAAGTGTTAGGATACAGAGCAGAGACCATTCCTGTTATTAATGATCTACGAGTTTAGCGCAAAAACGCATGATCGCACCGGCAACCCTGGTGCGTTCCAGTCTGGGTTGTTAAGAAGGAAAAATGACAAAAGTGTTGCAGTTTGAAAACATGACGTGTCTGTGCGCAGGGAACATACGCAAGCAGAAGCTGTTTCCAAACAGCATTTGAACTTAGTCGAAAGCGTACCGGTTGCCGGCACGAGGATGCGTTTTTTGCATAGTTCCCCCGCAGGTTTTTTTCGCCAGTGGCACGCTCCTCCCGGCAGATGCTTCTAGCTAAAAGAATTGTGACTGGCCACCATGACTGTTAAAAATTATCACAGTGACTCCCAATTCATGCCCAAAAAATTCAGCGCTCTGGATGCTTCGGTTACCGAGTTACGCCAAATTCCACCTGTTCACACGTGAGCAGCAACGTGAGTGTTTTCTTCGCTTGGGGCTACTTAAAGACGGCCCTAGGCAGTGCTTAAAAAGTTTCAGCACGCAAGCTGCTCTGGTTGCGGAGTTACGTCAAATTTCACGTGTTCGTACGCGAGTAGTAAAGTGAATGCTTTTTTCGTTTACGGTTACACAAACACGGCCTTGGGTAACGCGCAGTAAATTTCAACGCTACAGCTGCTCTGGCTGCAGAGTTGTGTCAAATTTTACGTGCTCGTGCGTGAGTGGCAACGTGAATGCTTTCTTCACCTGCGGTCGCTCAAACACGGCCCTGGGTAATGCTCAGAAAGTTTCAGCATTCCAGCTGCTCTGGTTGCGGAGTTACGGCAAATTTCACGTGTGTACACGTGTTTGAGAGTGAGATGCAGAAGAGCTGACAAGTAATTTACTTTCACGGACACAACAATGGGCAACAAGTAACTCTGCAAAATTGCAGCTCTCTTCAGCTTATTGATCACCTTAAATTTGGAGTTGGCATGATGCCAGTTTAAACTCTGACGTGTGCGTACATGAGTCCTGAGGGTGCGTCAAGGCTGAATTTGAAATTTTTGGATTAGACGCGGCCAAGGAACAACTCTGTGAAGTTCCAGCCTCCTAGCATGGGCAATTACTAAAACTCGGCTCGGCTCGGCTCGGCACGGCTCGGCTCGGCTCGGCTCGGCTGGT